AGTTCCTGTCTAAAAAACTTCCTTCATTTTTCCTGTAGTGTTATCTGCTGGTAAGGAATTCCTTTAGCTTTTGTTATTTCACCTTCATTTAGAAAAGTATCATCCCTGTGTGTAGAATTCTGGGTTGACAATTGTTTTCTTTTGGCACTATCACACTGTTCTCTTATGAACTGCTTAGTTTGTGATGAGAAACTACTATAATTGTTACCTTTGTTCTGTATATATGTTTTTGAGTTTTTTGGGTTTGTAGTTAAATGCCCTTTATAGTTTTTTGAAAATTGTCAGCCTTTGTCTCTTCACATATTTTTTCTGCTTTCTTCTCTTTTCTTTCTGGGATGCCAGTTACACATTTGTTAGAAAGTTTGATATTGTCCCCATGTCTTAGATACTCTGGTGGGTTTTTTTGTTTATTTTTTTCTCTCTGTGTTCAGCTTGGCCAGCACAGGGGTGCCTGGGTGGCTCAGTCAGTTGAGCGACCAACTTCAGCTCAGGTCATGATCTCACAGTTGGTGGGTTCGGGCCCCACGGTGGGCTCTGTGCTAACAGCTCAGACCCTGGAGCCTTCTTTGGATTCTGTGTCTCCCTCTTTGTGCCCCTCCCCCGTGCACTTGCACATGGGCCCATTCTCTCTCTCTCTCTGTCAAAAATAAATGAAATTTTTTTTAAAATTTCTAGATTACACAAAACAAGGCATTTGGTCAGGAATACTAACCTTTTCCTGAACAGGTCCTTTGTAAATACTCCAAGTCCCAGATCTGAATTTTATACGTAAAATCTCCTATATTTTGTATGCTTGATCAATTGATTTAAAACAGAAATCAAGAAACTGTAGGTTCTACTAATTAAAGCTAGCGTGAAATCCCGTCCCTAATGTGAGATTCAAAATAATTATATTTAAGAATTTTCTTAGTATTGAAAACTTAATTATGATTTAATTGTTGTAACATTTACTATTCATTATATTCACCAACTTAATCCTAGGTGGGTTTTGTACTTAGCTCATAAGTTCATACCTTTACTTTTTCATTTAGATAGTCAATGTGTTTACCTAAACACAAGCCCCGAGCTGTGCTGGAAACTGGAAGGTTCGGTGGTGTAGCTAGAAAATACTTGTTGGAGAAGACCTGAATCCCTGAAAGAGAAGAATGCATTCTTATAGATTGATGCTGAATATGGAAAGTTTTGGGCAAAAATTCATAGAGAGGAAAATTAAAGTCTAATTGGGAGGAAGAAACTGTCACAGGAAAGCCAGCTGACTAGAACAGGAGCTATAACCCATGGCTTCGATCCAGGAAATAGATTGGTACCACCAAGCAATTAACTCTGATTGAGTGTCCCACAATTTTAACTCAATTCTTAGACTGCCTGGAGGGAGCATCAGATCCCACATATCAAGGGCTCAGTCCCATAAGACTGCTTCTTCAGATGCCAGGTTGCAAGTCCAGGTTGTTACCTGTGTTTTTGATTCACTGGCTATAAATTAGAGATAGCTACAACCCCCTACCTAGTTCAGTTAATTTGCTAGAGTAGTTCACAGAACTCAAGGAACTGGCTTTGCTTACTCGATTACCAGTTTATTACAAAGGATATTAAAGGATGTGAATGAACAGCCAGATGAAATAATACATACAGCAAGATCCTAACAACTGGAGCTTTTTCCCCTGTGGAGTTTGGGGCCTAGCACTTGAATGCTTTCTGGGTCACCAACATGGCAGCTCTTCTGGGTTTTTATGGAGGCTTCATTCCATAGACATGATTGATAAACTCTTTGGCCATTGGTGACTGTTTCACTTTCAGCCCCTCTCTCTCTCCCTGGAGGTCAGAGGGTGGGAGTGAAAGTTTTAACCCTGTAATCAAGGTGGGTTCTTCCTGCCACCAGCCCTCACACCTTTAGGAGGTTTCTAAAAGTCACCTCATTAACATAAACTTAATTGTGGTTGAAAGGGGCTTGTTGTGAATAACAAGACATCCATTTCACTTTTATGGCTCTAAAGTGATTTCTGGGGCTGCAGACAAAAGACCATATATAACAAAAGATGCCCCAGGAGTTTTACATTTGCATATATCTAGTGTTTAAATTAGTTCAGTAAGATTTTAGTTAGCAGATTAAAAGGTCTGTTTAAATAAAACTTTATAGGGAAAAAATGGTAGGTGGTTTTGAAAAAATCTGTAATTAAGTGAGAACAGGTGCATGCTTTACTCAGAAAACCTGAATTTGGAACATCATTTCACAAAAGACCGAATAGAAAAGAGTTTTCTTTTCAAGGCTACAAGTGGGCTGTTAAATTAATAGCTTAGCTTATTGTTTGATTTTTATTCATTCATGTTTTGAGGAAATTTCAGTAAACTTTAGAAAATTTTAAAAACTTTTTATTTGAAACTAATTTTAGACTTACAGAAAACTTACAAAAACTATGTGGAGAATCTCCATGTACCCCTCACCCAACTTCTCTTAATGGTAGCATCTTACACAACCATAATAATTACCAAATTAATATAGACACGGTACTACCAACTAAACTGCAGACCTCTTTTCACAATTGTCCTTTTCTGTTCTAGGAACCTATCCATGATCACACTTTGCATTTAATTATTTCTTCTTAATCTCCACCATTCTTTTTCTCAGTCTTTTGATACTTTTGAAGAATACCAACCAGTTATTTTGTAGACAGCCCCTCAGTTTGGGTTTATGATGTTTGCTCATGATTAGAATAAGGTTATGCATTTTTGACAAGAATACCACAGAAATTATCTTTTATCTTTCCCTATGCATCATATGAGAGGGTTCATGATGCTGATACATTTTATTACTGGTGATGAGCTTTAGAAATTCTTGATGATAGATGCTATGATTTCTTTTATATAATACATATTAAAATTATTATTAAGGGGGCGCCTGGGTGGCTTAGTTGGTTAAGCATCCAACTTTCAGTTCACTGCATGATCATGCAGTTTGTGAGTTCAAGCCCCGCATTGGGCTCTGTGCTGACAGCTCAGAGCCTGGAGCCTGCTTCAGATTCCTTGTCTCCCTCTCTCTCTCTGCCCCTTCCCCTCTCATGCTGTGTCTCTCTTACTCTCAAAAATAAATAATAAGACATTTAAATTTTTTTAAATTATTATTAAAAATACCAGTCCATCAAAGCATTTGCTTTGTAATGCAGATAATTTACCAAAAACCAAAATGCAGATTAGGGAAAGCTGTTATCATCACTAGTTAATTAATGGGATGAGGTCTGTAGAATTTCACTAAAAAAAGTAAATTGTTCAATGATAAGAAAAAAACACCTTTTTCTTTCAAATGAGGCAATTCTTTCTTCATTGGACAGTTAACAAAGGAATTATCAAAAGAAGAATCTTCCCGAGTAATAGAATTGTTTTTGTAGTAGAAAAATTGTCTTGGTTGAAGCAATTAACTTTGGATAACTTATCAAGTAGAACAATAAATGAGGAAATAGGTGATTGCTTTTAGGTTTTTTTGTTCTATGTGTAACACTGGAATTCTATCAAATTAAGTCATTAAGACCAGTTTCTGGGGTGTAGCCTATCATCATATCTGAAATAAATTTATTGCAACAAATTTTTTGTATTTTGGGCATTTCAAAATTATGAATAGCATGAAATAAATCAATAATAATTTCAGAGGAAATACTACATTACATGTCCCATACCTTATTGACATTGAATCATCCTCATATGTTTCAGAAAGGAATGAAATTGTGCTTCAGGCTTTGATGCACTTAAAAAAATACAGTGTATTTTAAAATACAGTGTATTTTAAAAAGACAGTATGGAGGCTCCTTAAAAATTAAAAATGGAGATACCATATGATCCTTCTGGGTCTTTACCCAAAGAAAATTCTAATTCTAAAAGATATATGCACCCTTATGTTTATTGCACATTATTTACAATAGCCTAGATATGGAACACCCCAAGGTCCACCAATAGATGAATGGATAATGGATGAAGAAAATATAGTGTATATATATATATACAAAATGGAATCTTACTTACCATAAAAAAGAATGAAATCTTGCCACTTGCCACAACATGTTTGGACCTAGAAAGTATTTTGCTATAAAATAAGCCAGAGAAAGAATACCATATAATTTAATTTATATGTGGAATTTAAAAAACAAAACAAACTTGGGACGCCCGGGTGGCTCAGTTAAGCATCCGACTCTTTGTTTCTGCTCAGGTCATGATCTCACATTTCATGAGTTCCAGCCCCACTCTGCACTGTCAGTGCAGAGCTTCGGATTCATTCTCCCCTCTTTCCACCCCTACCCCATTCATGCTCTCCCACTCTCTCAAAATAAATAAACTTAATTTAAGAAATCAAAAAACAAACAAAAATAGACTCATAAGTACAGACAACAAACTGGTGGCTGCCAGAGAAAAGGGGAGTGAGGGGAAGTAGGTGATCAAGGGGATTAAGAGGTACAAACTTGTAGTTATAAAGTAAATAACAGGGATGAAAAGTACAGATTAGGAAATATAGTAAATAATGTAATAATAGCTTTGTATAGTGACACACAGTAACTGTACTTACCATGGTGAATATTTTGTGATATATATAATCATCAAATCACTATGTTATACACCAGAAACTAATATTGTATGTCAAAACTGTGTTTTTATGAAATAAAATTTTTAATGATATCTCCCTCAAATATACAGTAGATTATTAGGTTTTGCTGATAGGTATATCTATATATACCTATATAGATAGATATAGTGTTTATTCCTCAAAAGAGAATGAGTAGAAACTCTCCTGTAGATATCTGTTACCTGTCATAATGAAAGTGGGAACTAGCTCACATTAAGCTTTCTTCACTTGCTAGGTTTTCTTCACTAGGAACATTTCATTGAAATAGTTGTTTTTATACTTTTTGGATTATCTTTGAAGCATCCGTGAACTATAAAACTAATAGAACTGAGTCCTGCTGTCCCTTCAAAGTAACAGTATTCAATGTAATTGATAGCATTTTCTTTTATTTTAGTTCAGCAATCAGCAAACATTGGGAGGCTGAACTGGCTACCCTCAAAGGAAATAATGCCAAACTCACTGCAGCCCTGTTGGAGTCCACTGCCAATGTGAAACAATGGAAACAGCAACTAGCTGCGTATCAAGAGGAAGCAGAACGTCTGCACAAACGAGTAAGTTCAGAGCTGCTGCCATCCATAGGGATTTATGGCTAACAGACTTCACTGCTCAGCAGAGACTTACATGTAGTAGACTCAGTTCAAGGACATCTTTTGGAGATAATCGTTGGTTGTCAGAACATATAGATAGATGGTAGTATAAGTGGGTTTATTTAGTTAAGAAAAATATTTTCTATTCTGTCATTATCTGTGAAAATCTTGGTAAGTTATGTCTTTCTTTCTGCTCAGTAATCTCATCTGTAAAATAGAAATAATAATTGATACTGTGTAGAATTCCTGTGAAAATTAATTGAGAAAGTGAACTGACATTTAGTTGCACTGAGTTAATGATAGATGCTTTTATTATTTTATTTTTATTTTTTATTTTTTTTTAATTTTTTTTCAACGTTTATTTATTTAGATTAGAGAGAGACAGAGCATTAACGGGGAGATGCGAGGAGAGAGGACAGAATTGAACAGGCCCAGGCTTTTGCTTCATCAGCCCAGAGTCAGGGCACTGAACTGACGATTCCAAGTGAACAGACTTGGTTAGTCGGACGCCATCAGCGCCACCCGGTGTTTCCTATTTTTATTTTTTAAAAAAGGAACAGGAGTGCTCGCGGCCTGTGCTTGGTTGCCATCCAACTTCAGCACTGGTCAAGAGATCCTTCACAGTTTAGGAGGCTTGAGCCCCTGCTTGGTTCTTGTGCTGACAGGCCTGAAGCCTGATTCAGATTTGTGCCTCCCTCTCTCTCTACCCCTTCCCCACTCACGCTCTGTCTCTCTCTCACTCTCTCAAAAATAAATAAAAACATTAAAAAAAGATTTTTTTTAAAGAGCAACTTAAAACATACAGGTAGGAAACGCTTTATAAAAGTTGGGAGGTGCCTGGGTGACTCATTTGGTTAAGAGGCCAACTTTAGCTCAGATTATGTTCTCATGGTTCATGAGTTCGAGCCCCGCATCAGGTTGTCTACTGACAGCACAGAGCCCACTTCAGATCCTCTGTCCCCCTGTCCCCCACTCATGCTCACTCGATCTCTCTCTCTCTCGATCTGTCTCTCTCTCAAAAATAAACATGAAAAAAATTTTAAGAAAAAGTAGTCAGTTACACAGGTTTCCCCCACTATCCAAAAATAAAGCATTGCTGTGAAACCTTTCCTAAGCTCAAGTGGCATAAAGCAAAGACTATCCCCTACTTTAAAGTTCACATCATATCACTTCACTTTTACAAAAGACCTACATTAGTATCTGTTTTTGCTACTTGACAGAAATCTGAAGATGATTTTCAGTTTTACCAAAAAACACCATTACCATACTAATCTAGGTCTTTCATAAAAGTGAAGTGGCATAAATGCAAGCTCTCGGGGAGCACCTGCATTTGAAATTCATATAGGAAAAGAAAATCAGAAACCCCAGTATAAATAATATCAGAAGCCCAAACAATTACTTGTGAAGAATTTTTTTTGTGCTCAAAGCATTTACATTTACCCAACAGGAAGCAGATGCCACTAATTTCCTTTTTTAGAAAGGATGCCAAACAAGTGAACTTCATAGACAATAGGAAATTGTCTTACTACCAGAGCACAATTTAAGGAATGTAATAGGACCAGAATGACAAGGGAAATAATATAGAAATGGAATAGACACAGGGAGGGAGAGTAAGAAACCTGAATAAATATCATCCTATTATATGTATAAAGGTTAACTTAAGAGGAAGAAGAAGAAGGTTGTTTAATGAGTATAGAATTTCCATTTAGCAAGATGAAAAAGTTCTAGAGATATTTTTCACAATGGTCTGAGTATACTTGTGCACTTAAAAATGGTAAGATGATAAATTTAATTATGTGTTCTTTACCACAATAAAAAAAATTAACTCACAACAGTTAACTCATGAGCCAATAAATATTCATTGAAAAACTATCATATCTCCTTATTGAGTAATCCTTGCCCTTAAGGAATTTTTGTTGTAAATAATTAATTGAATTTTAAAGATTTAAGAAATGAAATCTTTCTGTTCACATGTTTATAATTTTCAGTGCTCTTCCTTCCTTTTTATAGATTTGATTTCCATCAAGGTATCCTTTCCCATTGGCCTGAATTAACTTTGCAATTTTGGCCAGGTATCAGGACAGCTTTTTGACTTAACTACAGGTTGCGTTTTCCTATTTCTTCACATGTGTACTCATTTTGAGTTGTGTGTTAGACATTAAAAATTAGATGCTATGCTGCCTATAGATGCTCTCATCTTATTCTGAATGATGTTTTTTATTTGAGCAAGCAGTTAAATGACTTACAGATTTCCTAGAATTTGTGAAGGTGTGGACTTACGCTTCATTATTAGAGTTGTTTTATTTTAATTTTGCCCTTAACCCTCTGGAGAATCCCCTAGTCCTGAGAAATCTTTATTTCTAAGGCGTAACCCTTCGGATGCTTCAGTGGAAAGCTTGAGGTGATAACCAATGTCCTCTAATTTGGTGGGACTCAAACTTCAAACTGTTTTCTCTATGGTGAGCATGAGCACTACCACCTTAGCTCTTTCAGCCTTCCAGCTCCCCATACCCCACCATGCTGGACTCCTTGGATTCTTACCTGTGCATGTTTAGTTCAAGGGTTGACCAAAGACTTGGAAAAAGTCTCTATGCTTATTTGGGGCTTTTTTCATACAGTTCCCTCAATTTCTAGCTGTTTCAGCTGTTCTAAGGAGTCCCCAAATCATCAGGCTCCTCAGGCTATCTTTTACTCTTTTGCTCTATTTGGTCACTAACCAGGGCATTCAAGCAGTTGAATTTTACATTTCGTTCATGATGTGCCATTGTTATCTATGGGAAAGTTTTTTTAATAAAAACAACTCCATCATTATGAGAACTGGAATTCCCCGTAAGGAATTTATTATCTAATTGAACAAAGAAAACTAATAAACATTGAAGAATAAGGAAATAATTCCCAAGATTTTCAATACATTTCATTTTGTGGACCTTGACAGATTGAGTAGATAGGAATGGCTTTCTGGTGAAAGTGCTTGCTGAGCTGAGAGTAGAGGGTTTGATGAAGTCTGAATGGCCTCAGAGGTAAGAGAGGACATTCATATCCAGCAAGATGGGTACAAGAGTTGTTTATTCTTTCTTAAAGTTTTATTTATTTATTTTGAGAGAGAGCATGCCCAAGCCAGGGAGGGGCAGAGAGGGAGAGAGAAGGAATCCCAAGTAGGCTTCTTGTTGTTAGCACAGAGTCTGGCACAGAGCTTGATCTCATGAACCATGAGACCATGACCTGAGCTGAAATCAAGAGTAGGATACTTAACCGACTGAACCACCCAGGCACCCTGAGAGTGGTTTGTTCTTAGGACAAGGAGACTTGCCTGCTTTTAGTTGGAAAAGTGATATATCACATACTGTGAGTGTCTTGGATGATGAGGATAGTTAAGTAGTTTATGACTGGTATATGCAAGACCTGAGGGTTAAGATTTGACGTAAAAAAAAAAAAAAAAAGAGCCTTTGAAAGGCTTTGAATGAGGGAGTTAAAGATCACAGATGAATGTTAGTTTGCAGAAGAGGTAAAAATAGATTACAGTTAAGTCTTCTGGCAAGCCATTGCTGTTCTTTAGGCCTGGATGATAAGGGTCTGCACAAGGCTATTAGTACATGAATAGAAAGGACAAAAGTGTTAAGAAAGGTAGAGTGACATTTGTGGAGTGTAATTAGATACTTGGAAAATGTGAAAGAGAAGGATTTGCTATGTTTCTTTAGCAGTCTAGAATTCACTGCAGTCTAGTCACCCAAAATGTATGAGCTCCCGATGTATGTAAAGAGCTGTGATTGGAGGTGTATGCATGTTTTTATGTTGACTTCTGTCTCTTTTGACTGTCAAATCCAACAGTGTTGTTGGACAGGATAACTTTTAGGGACTCTGTCCTTCTCTGTTGTCTCAGAAAATATCCAGTGCTTATTAAAAATTAGGTAGCTCTTTGGGCCCTCAGTACATTGTTATTGACTAAAAAATGTTATCTTTTGCCACAGAGACACTATTGATATGAAGTCATTCTAGTAATAGAATGATTTAAGTTGTATTTTTAAGCATATCTTTTCTTCCAGATTCTCTTAACATTTTGGAAATGTATTTGAAAAATTTCTCACTTCTGCAAGGCCAGTTTTCAGAAGCCATGTTTAATTTGAAAGCTACAGATGGAAGGCAGATGGCTATATCTGATTTTGAATATGTTTTCATAGGAAATTTTTAAAGAAAACTTCATTATAGGGATTCTCTGCTATCATTAATCATTTAATTTTAAGTTTTCCTGATTTTGCCCATGACCAAGCCATATAAATAATTATTTCCCTAGTCTTTTTTCCTTGTCCTAGATTCGTGTCTTTAAAGAATCTATTCATTCTACAATAAGTGTCTTAATATTTCTCAAAATTGATTTTCATATGTCGCTTCAGAATTCATGTTTTAACTATCAGGAGTTACTATATTTTCAGCAAGAAATCCTTTGAAGTAGTCATATGACTTACCTGTGTTCTCCTTTCATTCTAGGTGACTGAGCTTGAATGTGTTAGTAGCCAAGCAAATGCAGTGCATACCCATAAGACAGAATTAAATCAGACAATACAAGAACTAGAAGAGACGCTGAAAGTGAAGGAAGAGGTATTTGCTACTTTTTACTCATCTGTAATCTGGCTAACATATGTATACAAAATATTTGAGCTTATGTCAGATTTGCAGGTACTTTATGGAGTAAAGTAAGGTTGTGGGATGCTGTTTAGGGGTGTGAAATGTTTTTTTTTTGATTAATATTAAGCTTGTTCATATTTTCTCCTTCCTTATTTCTGCTGTTATGAACAATGATGAGGCAGTCAGACTGAGATGCTGCCTCTTGCCTTCTGTATGAGAGTTGCATTCATAAAATCAACAGAAAACCAGGAGAGGTTAAATGAATTTTATACGCTGTTGCTTTCTCTGGTTTCTGGTCAGAAGATTTAACATCCCAGGAAAGAATTATATCCACAACCATAACATATTCTGATGGTTGTTTCTAAGCAGTGCTGTCTCAAAGCCGGCAAGTGTACTTGTTGTTTAAGATTATCATGTAGTAGACACCATACCCATAAAGACAAATCACCCCTCTAAAATTTAGTCAGTATAAAGGAATGTTTTTTTAATTATTTTTTTCCAGGGACTGGAACAATGATTTCAGGAAAAAATAAGACTTTCTCTTTCCTTGATTTAGTTTAAATATTGTTGCTAAAGACCTTGCTGTACTTTTTCTAGGAAATAGAAAGATTAAAACAAGAAATTGATAATGCCAGAGAATTACAAGAACAGAGAGACTCTTTGACTCAGAAACTCCAGGTGAGCTGTAATGACGTTTTGATTCATTTCTGCACAGGAAGGCATCACTCATTATTTCACATAGTAATGACTTTTTTCTCTGAAATTTCATTTCGTAGGTTCTCAGTCCTTTTTCTTTTCCAGGACTTCTCATTCGGGCCTAATCTTTGATTTGTCAAAAATTACCTGATACCTTTATCTAGGTAGCATATGATCATCATAGATGGTCATTTATAAATTGTCTTCAGTAAATTATTTTAGAAATTTCTACTTTGTAACATAAAAAATACCCTGAATTTAAAGAGAATTTCTCAAATGGATTTCATTCACTTGAGGAGTTCTCATTTTTTTTTAACACTGAACTACTTAGCATGAATTACAAAAGTAGTTGTGCCCTAATGGAAATCAAGTTAGTACTGTTTTTCTTCCTTTATACGAATTAATTTTACTCACTTTTTTTGCATAAGTAATATGTTTCTTGGCTCTCATTTACATACGTATATCCTGTGTCAGTGGTTAGGGAAGAATTTTAGAATTCGTTATCAAAGTGCCCTGGCACCTCAGCTACTTTTACACCCCAGTGGTTAGCTGCCTCTATAAAGAGAGGTTAGGGCCACTTTAGAGTTGGGAGTAGAAATAAATGTATGTATGGAGTGAGGAATTTGGGCTGAGTGATGATGAGTAGGACCTGAAAGCCCAGTATTAAAAGGAGTACCATAATTATAATGAGAATGTCCAGCATTAATTGAGTGCTCACTTGCACCAGACACTGTGTTAAGCACTTTACTTATATTGTGCATTTATTCCATGCAACAGTCATAGGAGGAAACTGAGGCTTGTATAGGTTAACTTGTCCAATCTCTCTTTAAGTAGGCAAAGTTCTTTGACAGTGGAAATGGGTTCTTTATAGAGCATCAACTATTTCCCTCTCTCTCTCCCGTCATTTGACTTTCAGCAGTCTGAGAAAAAGGAGGTGGTTTGTTTTGGTTAGCCCTATTAAATGTTGTTCCTACATTTTAATGATCTGTGTAAATTAGTGGTTGTCAACTGGGGGCAGTTTTGTGCCGCAGGGGACGTTTAACAATGTATGGAGACAGTTTTGATTTTCACAACTAGGACTGTACTATTGACATCTAGTAGGTGGAAGTCAAGGATGCTGCTAAACATCCAATTATCTGGCCCAAAATGTCAATAGTGTCAAGGTTGAGAAAGCCTGGTGTAGAACTAAAAGATGACGCATGTAATCAGGGCTAGAGGAGGTGGAAGAAATCAGTGTGGCTTTGCCATTTGTTCGTTTGTTTCGGGCTGTCATTGTCTGAGTACTTGCTATGCTTCAGGCATTTTGCTAAGCACTTGTATACCATCGCTCTAATTCTCAACTAATTCTCACACTAACAAATGTGGTAACCCCATTTTCAAAGAGAAGGCAGCAGTTCGGAGGTGTTAACAAGTTTACAAGACACTGAGCTAGAAAGTAGTAAGGCCTAAATTTGTTTTGATTCCAAAGTCTCTGTTCTTTCTGTATTAGCACCACACTGCTCCAGGCAGTCAAGTGGCCAAGACATTCCTGACAGTTCTTTAAAAACATTTTTCCAGTTACATACACATTTACATTGTCCCAGAGAAACCAACAGGTGATTTTTCATATCAGACTTCTAAATGTATTTCATCATTGACTGAGCAGTAATTGAATTTTAAAGCTGGCTCCTGGAATAGTGAATATCAGTGCTTACCTTTTCTTTCACCAAGTATCAAAAATGCTTATCAAAACAACCTACATGGAACAGGGCAGGGAAGCTTTCAGACCTTCAGATGCACTGGTCCCTATTTGTTTTCAGTCTTGGCTCACGTGTTAATTTCTCCAACTTCTCAATTTAAGCACTGCTCTGCAAGGTCCTCCCAGCCCCCTACTCCCCCCACCCCAGTTACTCTTTGTAATATTACCATGTTTTATTTTCCTAGTAGCCATTGTCAGTATCTGAAATGATTTTATTTATTTTCAAAATTTATTTTGGAATGATTTCAGATCAGAAAAACTTGCAAGAATAATACAAAAATGTTTTTCATATACCTTTCACCCACATTTCCCAAATGTTAACATTTTTTGCCGTATTTGTTTTACCATTCTGGAACTCTATCTGTGTATGTATATATATACGTACACACATACATACATACATATGTGTGTATACATACATACATATATACACTTTTATGTGTATATATATATATATATATATACACACACACACATATATCTTTTTCCTGAAATCTTTGAAAATACGTTTAAGATACAGTATCTCTCTTTTTTTTTTTTTTTTAATGCTTTATTTATTTTTGAGAGAGACAGAGACAGAATGTGAGTGGGTTAGGGGCAGAGAGAGAGGGAGACACAGAATCCAAAGCAGGCTCCAGGCTCCGACTGTCAGCACAGAGCCCGACGCGGGGCTCAAACTCACAGACCGTGGGATCATGACCTGAGCCAAAGTAGGATGCTGAACCGACTGTGCCACCCAGGCGCCCCAAGATACAGTATCTCTTTACCTCTAAACACTTCAGTGTGTATTTTATAAGAGTAAGGACATTTTCTTCTATAACCATCAAAAATGATCTATCTACAGACCTTACTCAAATTCCCATAATTGTCTTAATAATCTCCTTTATAGCAAAATTTAAAAATTGTTTTTCTGGTCCAGGATTTATTCCAGAATCACATACTGCATTTAGTTGTCATGTATATTTATTTTGATGTTTGAATTGTCCCGCATTTGGCCAGTTGAAACCCCTTCCAGCTTCTGGTTCCTTTTGATATGACACTCTAATTCTTTAAAGAATTTCTTTATGTTTTAGTACAACATAATCCAGGCTCATCTTGTATTTTTTCAACTTTAGCCTTGGAATTAGCTATTTCTTCAAGGAGAAATTTCTTTTAGCAAAGATTGATATTTAGAAGCCAAAACCTGAGTACTAGATAAGCTTCTTGTTATTAAGTTGGCATTGTTTCTTTTCCATCTTAATAAACAGAGCTAGAAGTACACGCATACCACATTATGTCCATTTCAGGTACGTATATATGTCTTTTAAACTGAATTCTTACCCATACCTCCCACTGTAGTCTAATACTATGAAGTTCATTTTAGCCTTTTCCTTATTCATATCTGTAACTTGTTTACCCAACACCAAGAAACCTGGAGGCACCTGGGTGGCTCACTCAGTTAAGCACCTGGCTCTTGATTTTGGCTTAGGTCATGATCCCACAGTTCTTAAGTTCGAGCCCCATGTCGGACTCCACGTTGACATTGTGGAGCCTGCTTGGGATTCTCTCTCTCTCTCCCTTTATTTCTGCCCCTCCCCTGCTCACACTCTCTCTCTGTCTCTCAAAATAAATAAATTAATTTTAAAAAATACTGAGAAACCTGATTCTTATTACCCACAGTATATTTACTTACTTTTTTAATCTCAGAAAGCACAGAAAATAGTTGTTGAATTACTAAATAAAACCACTGCAAGAAAATACAAACAAACCCTTACCAACTAGAGATCAGTATAATTCTTTTTGTCCTTAGCCTGTATCCAAAGTTTATTGGGTGAGTTCTTCCACTCCTCTGCAATTGGCTAGGTTCTTCATTTGAAACACATTTATGTTTATTTGTGTCATATTCCATTTTAAATGTATTTTATTTTCCATTCTTCTTCATTTTATAGCATGCATTTAATGAGTATATGAAACATTAGTGTGGTTCCAAAAATCAGAACTATTCAGAAAGATGTCTTTAGAGAAGTATGAGCCCCTTCAGTCCAGACTACCCTAGTTTCTGTCCCGTTCTTCCCACCCCCCGTATCCATCTGCCACCCGTCGGTAACCAGTCACATTAGTTTCTGGTTGATCCTTTCTCTGTTTCTTTTTACACAAATGAACAGATCTATTTGTTTACCCTCTCCTCCCTTTTTTTAAATGATTACATCCACTAGATTATTCTTTTGCACTTTGCTTCTTTAACATGAAACATATTGTAGAGATCACTCTGTCAGTTCATACAGATCTTGTTCATGTTTGTTACAGTTGTATAGTACTTCATTTCTATGTTGATAGTTTATTTAGCCACTCCTTTGTATGGGTATTTAGGCTATTTCCAGTGTTCTGCAACAATACTACAAGTAATATTGTGCATAGGTATTTTGTTATCATTGGAGGTGTGTATTCAGGATAGATTTTTTTTTTTTTTTTAGTAATCTGTACACTCAACATGGGGCTTGAGCTCATTTTGACCCCAAGATCAAGAGTCTCATGGTTGGGCACCTGAGTGGCTCAGTCAGTTAAGTATCCAACTTCAGCTCAGGTCATGATCCTGTGGTTTGTGAGCTCGAGTCCCACATCAGGCTCTGTGCTGACAGCTCAGAGCCTGGAGCCTGCTTTGGATCCTGTGTCTGTCTGTCTCTCTCTCTCTCTCTCTCTCTCTCTCTCTCTCTCTGCCCCTCCCCTACACGCACTCTCTCTCTCTCTCTCTCTCTGTCTCCCTCTCTCTCTCTCTCTCTCTCTCTCTCAAAAATAAGTAAACACTAAAAAAACAAAAAAGAATCTCATGGTATTCTGACTGAGCCACCCGCAGGAAAGATTCTTAGAAGCAAGATTTCTTAGTGAGAAGATAAACATATAAGTAGTTTTGTTAAATATTGTCCAGTTTCCCTCCATAATGAGTTATGGCAGTGCTCACTCATACCACCAGCATGAGTGCATGTGTCTCCATAGCCTCACCAACAAAATGTGTTGTCATACTTCTTAATTGTGTGATAGGTGAAAAATGGTATCTCTTGTGTATCTCGTATTATTATGAGTCACATGAACTTCTTTCATAAGCTTAAAGATCTTTTCAGTATCTTTTTGTATATGTGTGGATTGGGTGTTCATGTCTTTTGCCTTTTCTCGATAGGTTTTTTGGTCCTTTTTCAAGAGTTCTTTGTATTCAGGAGTTCTTTATATATCTGATTACATGTTACAAATATTTTCTCCCAATTTGTTG